ATCATGAGTAGTTTAATTATTTTTTTTTTGAAATGTGTTGTCCTCCTTTTGTTTTCTCTTATTGTGCATGTTTGCGTGTGAGTGCTGCTATAAGATGAACTGTTTTGGTTCTTTTGGAACCTCTATATGCTTTCCAGGTATCATAAGCCGTTTGTATCTGATCCACATTTAAATAAGTTAATAACTGTGAACCATGAACTCTATATTTGGAGAAAACTATGCAAAATTGAGAAATACTAAATGATATCAGTTGATATATTCACTATGTGCATGTTTCAATTGTTGTATTGCCATATAAGTTGTAACATTCTACCGAATCAAAAAGTTTGTTCATGAGACTTACTTGAATTTTCAACATGTGCAGCAAGTCATCATTGGACTTGATACTGCAGAAACAATTAGTGAGACGGGGGCACTGAGTCATGCAGAAATCGACTTTGGCATAGATGAGCTGGATGACAGTGGGTTTGATGCTGACGAGGATGATGATGATGAGGAAGAGGATGAAGATGAAAGTGGTGAAGATGAAGATGACACAGTAGGGACACACTCAACTCTATGCTTTCGTCTTGCTATCAGAATTTGTGGCTTTAATGGTTGTAAACCTAATTCATGTTCCCATGCAGGACTGGGTAGCCAGCCTTGATGAGGATGAGGAGAGTGATGATTCATTGGGAGACTGGGCTAAATTGGAGACCATGCGTTATTCTCATCCTATGTATTTTGCCAAAAAGTTAGCCGAGGTAACAATATACATTAAGTTCTAAAATCAATTGAAAAATTAAAATGTGAAATATGTATGTAAGACAATCTTGTTTAAATTTTAACTGCTGAAGTAAGTTGCGCAAAGTTGAATCACAAAGAGTGATGACACAGTTCTATTTTTATATTGTTTTTCTATTTTCACACTTCAAGTTGTGTTTTAAGTGGAAATTCGGTTTATTAAAATGCTAAATTAACGGATGGGGACATTTGGTATTACCTTACTGCCTACAGGTAACAGGTCATTGAGCACAATAGGTGGCAGGAGATGAGAATTTTAGAACTTTAGTGGGATATTAAGTGTGGCAATGAAAATAAGAGATCGTTCACTCTCTAATCCTCCTACGAAGAAAGGCTTGTTGCCTTTTAAAAACAACCTGAATATGGCCTACAATTTGACATCTATATGCTTAGTATCTCATGGTTACAACAACCGTCCTTTTTCCATTTGCAGGTTGTCTCGTATAATCCTGTAGATTGTATGGAACAGCCAACTACTGGCCTTGCTGTCCATGGCCTTCTAAGGCCCACTTTCATTGAAGAACATTCTGTTATTCAAAGGCAGATATCTGATCCTGAATCTGGTGATGTGGATACAGATCAAACAGTCCATAAGACCGTACATATAGATGGGCACGGACATGGAGGAGAATTAACAAGGGATCACCCAACTTTGGATGGAGACCTGGAGAAAGATGAAACTCTGGGAAATGGGTTTGCATTTTACAAGCTAGAGATGATTAAGATTCATCTAATTTCAGCTCAAGGAGATCAGGTAAAGCCTTAATTTAAAAAAGCTTTATTCCTTGCATCAACCTCAATATTATCCGTAACCTTTCAATTCAATCAACCTGCTTTTAGTCATAATATATAATTTGGTATCCATCATGCTATGATGACCTGGCTTATGCTAGCTTGTTTTCGAATACATTCTAGAATGAACAAGAATGGACAATATGAACATTGTGAATGATTTGTTTTCAAATGCAGATAATTATTATATACTATCAGCTAATAAGTTGGAAAGTGTAGTATGATTATTGTGGTATTGTGCAGAGTTACGTTGAAATAGAAGATTTTGGGAGGGCTAAACCTGATGCCATAGCACATTCAGCTGCCAAAATCATATCCCGTCTCAAAGCTGGTGGAGATAAGATCACGCAAGCTCTAAAATCTCTATGTTGGAGATCAAAGGGTATTCAAGTGGAGGTAAGATTTACTTGCACTGTAAACGAAAAATACACCAATCCCCCTATATATTAATCCAGAACGCGTTGAGCCTACGTGGCTGCTTCTGGTGCTTCGAAATCCTATGTGGCAAAATTACATGCTTTGTTATTAGGCTTGAGTAAATTTTAATTTAATTCCAAACCAAAAATAATTAGGTTCGAGATTACTATAAATATGTTGATTATTTATGGTCATGTTATATGTATTAATTGTATTTTAATATCATTCCTTATTATAATTATTGAATTGTATATATATTTTAAAAGTTGATAACTTTTGTATTTTTTATCAGTTTTACATATGTAATATATCAAATTAATTTTCTTTTTATGAGCTTCGATTTAACATCCATATTGTATGTATAAAAAAATAATTTATATTTATCTTTATAACAATAATAAAATTATTTTTAATATTAATTAGAAAAATAAAATTATTTATCAACTAATATATTTATATTTCAAGTAGTTATATGATATAAGTTATAAAAACCAATATAATATAACACATGTAAGTCATAAGTAACACATATTGTTCTAAAATATATAGTAATATATTTTTTTTGTAAAAAAATAAACTAAATTTAATATAGTTTTTTCAGTAATTTTAAAATCTAAGAATAATTTATTAACAAGCACCCGTGTAATACACGGGTGTTGTACTAGTTACTATTGTTGAAGAAATTCTTCATAGACATTGCTTTCTGCAAGAGTTGCAGCTTTTTCCTTCCCAAATTGTGTGCCTATTTTCCAATATGCATTAGTTGATCTGTTGTGGTGTGTGATTACTGATTTTCTTTTCCCTACTCATTCATCCATTCATGATGTTGATGGTTCGTTGAATTTTAACATGTTACGAATGTTCAATAATGCTAAGGCCGCCATTGGATATGAGACATATCCGGGTTTAATTGGTTTTGGCCGATTGAGTTATTTTTTACCAATCAAAATCCAACTCACTATTCAGTATTTATCCACTCACATAATTTTAGCTACCTATGAATTCCAATAACCTCTCTCCTTTTACATACAACTTTAATCATTATATTTAAATGTTATTTAATTACAAACTCAAAATCATGCATTCAATCTTATTTTATATAAAATAACTGAACTTTAACCAATTAAATCCAACCAAAACTGGTTAGATTCATATCCAATCACGCCCTAACTATCCCGAGTTGAAATTATGACAGGAGTGTGCTCTTATAGGAGTAGACAGCCTTGGTTTCGACTTGCGAGTTTGCTCCGGAATACAAGTTCAGACATTACGTTTTGGCTTCAAGAAGAAGGTAAAGATTTCTTAGTTCACGTGTGTCTGTGCAAGTGTTCTGGTGAACTGAACGATGTAGTAACTTTCGCCATGTTCGAATTTCTCTTCTTGTATGCACCTTTGCAGGCATTGTCGGAATATAGTGCTGAGAGGCAACTAAACGACTTACTGTTTCCTCGAACACACAAGTATCAACAAAAGAAAGAAGCGCAACAGACCGAGTCGTAGTAAATTAAATGTACGTTTATGTATTTTCTGAATGCTGAGTAGTAGAGAGAAGGTGTTCATAAGCACAAATTATTCTTTTTTTTTTTTTT